GAGTTGCCTGCCCCTTCTTCCAGAGGTGAAATCATAGGTTGCAAGAGGAATTTTACTAGGGATGATTAGTTCCTATTTCTTACAGCAGAGGAATTAAAGTATGAGCAGGTTCCAAACAAAGGGGAGTTTATTTTTTATGTGGTGCTAGTGCCTGAGCATGTTCTGTAACTTATTACAGTAAAATGCAGTGAAAGCAAAGTAATATTGATGGAACTAAATGTTCTTGAAGAATGGTTAGGTGCAACTTTCTGCTTAGGAAGTTTCTAAGCTGCTTATTGCTGGATGTTGGGAGGACATATTCAGGGAAATAGTATTGCAGGATGCTAGCCCTTTTTCAAATGTTCTTTGTCTGAGTATTTTGTGGTGGTCAGAAACAGGATACCGGGCTAAATCAGTCTTTGATCTATGCAGTATTGCAATTCTTTTGTTGTTAACAATAAATGCCATGTAAATGTGATTATGCAGGCAAGGAATTATTAATACTAGCTGGAGATGAGCTAATTATCTCTAGAAATAATGTTGAACAACCACTTTGGTTTCCTCCAAAACAGGATCTCTCAAATTCCCAAGCTACACTCATAAGAAATCTTTTTATGGAAGCCAATCTTCTGCTTTGCTGAATAGAGTATCCTTATATGTAAATAGCACAGTAGAAGCGAAGGTCCTTCACGCGGCCCATAGTTGAGTTAAGGAGTATGCTGTATAAGTGTTCCAGGAGAGGATGGCAGTTCATGGAGGAGAAATTGCCACAATATTGATAAGTACACTGAAACAAAGTAATGTCCAAATTTGTCTGGTAGGAAAAAAACACACCCCCCCCCCCCCCCCCCCCCCGCCCCGGCTTAGGAAGTCCCTCAGCTGTTAATGGTTTGAGGCTGGGAGTGTACATTAGAGGCTCCCTTACTATTGCATAAATCATAACTAATAACTTAATTGAAGCATGAATATTTTCATATTGTAAATATCACACTTCCCTTTTCTCCAAGTATTTTTATAAAATACAAGGAAAACCCTCCTAAATATTATTAAAGTTGAGCTTTCAGGGGTTACTAAGTGCCATTATTTAAGCAGTTATATTAACTCTGCATTATGTTTTTATTGTAATAGGCTACTTGTGCACAAACCTTTGCAGTGTGAGACAGTGAAACTTTTTTAAACATCTGCCATTCATATAACTTGTCCTATATTGTTTTCTACACAATCATGTTAAAATAATTTATTTCTTTAGAAATCTGCTTTGTAGAGTACTTTCCACAAAACAAGAATTTCACACAGTTTCAGCATGAGAAGTATTATTTCCGTCTTCTAAATCAAGAGATTGATTCTGAAGCAGTTTGTCTCTGATTCTGTACTTTCTGTTCATTATGAGTTAATGCAAGAATTTCTCATTATCCAGCATCATTATAGTTTGTACTTAAACGTATTAGCGGTGTAGTATGTCCTGAACTACTGTATACACCCCTCCCCTCTGATTTTTTTTTTTATGTGGGGAAACAAAATATTTTTGAGTTGATTTTGAGTCCTCAATTTGAATACTCTGCTCTTCACTTGCCATATCATTTATCTTCCAGATGCTAGCTTTCTGTTCCATACCTCAGCCAGAAAATGCTCAGGGGAAGATATTAAAAAAAATTCTTGAAGTTCATTAAAGAATGAAGGGTGTTATTACTGTGTTAAGCCAACCACTTGAAAGACATTTGTAAGGATAAAACTGATAAGATTGTAATGCATAGAAAAATGTTGATTTTAAAGAGGAATGCTATTGATGGGTAGCCTTTATTTAAATTTATGCAAGATGAAGCATTCCAATGACATACGATATTAATGCTTTCTTTTCTGTTGTCTTTAAGTCCTAGTGCTCGAGTCTAAAAGAACTAGAACATTTAACAGCTTGGTTCATAGTTTGGTAGATATATATATATTACGTAAGCCAGCTGTGATGATGGGAATGATTTTATAAATGCTCAGATATTAGGTACTATATTTACTGCTAAAGATGAAAGAAGTTGTATTTAAAATATGGCTGACTTAAAAACTTAGGGTAAAACAGCAGCATACTTGTGGAGCATGTGGTATAGTTTCATAGTTGAACAGAGAAATAATTAAAGAAATATGAGAACATATATTCAGATTATAGCTCAAGTACATTTTAGTGAACTGATAAGAACATGTAGCTGTGATGTTTCAGTTTGGAATAATTTCAGTTATAATAAAGTGTTTTTTTTTTTTAATTTGTTATGTGTTTCAATGGCTTAGAAACAGACTTACAGATGCTACCAGTAGACTCTCTGGTCTGATATCCTTATCTTAAGGATAATTTCTCTTACATGTAGGGAAGCTCGGGGATTGGTTATTTATTCTGCAATTACATGTTTTGAGGACCTAATTCTTAACTTCCCATGCTTTAAGGAAGGCTTAAGTCATTAAAATAGAAATAGCTTTTCTATGGCAATCAAAACGTTTTCTGTATGAATATGAATGCAGTTATATGTAGCAATTAGGTGCTGTATTAGTATCTGAATTAGCAGTTCTGGAATATAGCCAGCTTGTGGCCAGGAAAGCAGCCAATAGCCTGGAGGAGAAATGTTTTGATTACTATGTAATAACTGCTCTAGAGAGCTCTCATTATCCTGGCAAGCTGCATTTGTAATTTTTGATATTACTTATTTGGGACAGTTGTAATTTTTAATCTAAAAATGTGGAAGACAATTCATTGTATCTTTTTCACCCTGAATGCCTGAAAAGTTACTTGAGCAAAGTGAAAAATTACTTGGATTTAATGAATACATTATATCCATCAATTTCTCTATAGGGTCAACATATTGCAGCAAGAATTATTTGCTATTTTTTATTTATTATTTTATTTATTATTTTCCTTAAGAGGAAATTAACAATCTAAACAGATGCTGTTCTGTTTATATCTTAATTCTTTTTGGTGCTGGATTTTTTCAGAGGATCAATATAGTAAAATTTCTTGAACTATGCATACATGCGAAGTTATTTAATGAAAAGAATGTTCTTGAAATTTAAAGTTGTTCATATGAGACAGGCTGACAACATCTCTTTAACTTGCATTTCTGTAGGACCCAAGAGCCTCGTGTTAACTTCAAGTTGTAAGTTAAAGGGCTTCAGTTTCCATTTGGTTATATAAGTGGTAGAGCATGGGCTCCCACTTCTGTGGTTTAACCATGGTGTTATTCTGAAATGCTTCAGATAAGACCATTGTCCTTCCTCTTAACTGTTTGCTGTGTTGAAAACCAGTGGGAAACTTTCTTTTAGGCTTTCCCTCTCATTGTTATAACAAGAAGAGAGAATCAAGTGATAAGAAAGGCATATTTCTTTCACTTGTACCTGGAATTATCAAGAGACAAAGTCAGCATGTTAATTGAATGTAATATGAGCTGAATGTTTTCACTTCAGGCTTTTATATACCAGTTATTTTAATAGCTCTAAAGCCATTAAAAAGTGCTGTAAACTATTTGATTACACTAAGGAGAATGCTACTTTAATCATAGACTGTGCTAACTGGAAATTAGGACTGCTGGACTCTATTTGTGGTTCTGAAATAATTTAGCCTGACTTTATACAAGCTACTTGAACTCCATTTCAGTTGCCCAGTTTCTTTACCTGTTTGTCTCCATGAGTGGGGTGCATGTACCTGTCCATGTGAGATTAGATTCCCATAACCAGTAACCTACCGTGGGCTTGTCTAGTGCCACAGTTGCCTTTGTGTCTTCTCATACCTAGGCAGGAAGGCTGGCAGGAAGTTCAGCCATTCCTTGGTATCTTCATACCACTGTGAATCTGATGACAGTGAGTCTGTGATGTCCACTTCTCGAGTTTTACCCGCCTTTTCTCTTGGCCTTGCAGACATACCAGGTGGCAAAGGTACTCTGAGTCTTAGTGCTACCCTGCAAGTCATGCAGAGGTGCTGAGGACTGTTGATGATGGTGGAGCTACCATTTATTTGAGAGGGTGGGGTGGGTAGAGGTGACAGGAAGCCTTGGGCATTCTACCTTCTAGTGTTTGCAGTTTCCTTTGGGTAGCAGAACTGCAGGGTCTTTATATAGCTTACTCTGAGAAAGGTAAGTAAAAAGATGAGAAGTCTTGTGGAAATTGGACTTCTTAGAAGCTTTGCAACTGGCTGGTCTCCAGGCTGTGAGAGCATTTATTCCCTCTGACTCTGGCTTACAAATTGTACTCAGTACAATGCTATCTTGCAACATCAGAAGCCATCTGGGCTCGAACGTAAGACAGATCTCTAAGTCACCTCTTGCCACATCCAAGGTGCATTTGAGCCTTCCTTGATGGCAGAGGAAGAAAAGGACAGACCGTTCATAAATTTGGTCTTTGCCTTTCAGTCAGCGTCATGGGGTCCTTGTTCTTCCTAGTCCTTCTTGCTCTCCCTTCATACAGCTCATATTTCTGCTGCAGAGGTGCAAGTCTGGCAGTGCTATCTTGTCTGGGTTAGTGAAACCCGGGAAATGCAGCAAACATTCATAATAGTACCTCACTCTTCTTCAAATTGTGTCTTGAAATGCCATTATATTTATCACATCTCAAAAAACCCCAATAACAACCCCCCCTCGCCCCAAACATGTTAGGTCATGGTTCATTGAGATCATTGTTGCCCTAAAATAAAGGCTTTATCTGTTGTGCACTTATTTCTGTTTTTCTCTAACCATCTGTTCTCTTTTGCCTTTCATTTACATTGTAAACCCTTTCAAGAAACCATTTTTTTCTCTGCTTGTTTGTTTTGCTCTGCTTTTTTTAGTGCCTTGCACAATGGAATCTTTATTAATGCATAGGGCTCATTGGAGCTTTAACAACACTACTTCTAAGTCTTGCTACTGGTAGATATACTTGCAAATATACTTCATTAGGTCTATTTGTTATATTTTTTCAGATAGTTTCAGTTGCCCTTATCACTGGATCACAATTATTTAACTACGTCTTTAAGAAAGATACTCTAAACAAAATTCCAGTTACACAGACTTAAACCATTCCAGGTTGAAAGAGGTCTTTCATCTTCTATACAATTAAAAAAAAATTTAAAATATTTTTTACAATGCATCTTACATCAGCAGGTTTTTCCTTTATCTGTTTAGACCATTTTTTTTTTTTCCCAAATAGATGGGGGCATTTACCCACCTGAATATATTTGTTGTAACTGTTGTGTTACAACAGCTTGATTTACCTTTATGTCCTGGGAGCACTCTTGGGTGTAACATCAGTATCGCATATTTGGAAGAATGATTAGATGATAGCAGGTAAATGATGTGGTTCTGAACACCTGTATGGAGTGAAGCAGAAAGGTGAATTTTAATTTTAAATGAATCAAATTCTCTTCTAAGTTATTTTAAGACTTTTTTTGTACACTTGGAATAAAAAACACACTTTATATTACAGTATAAAAGCCAGTTGATGTTAGTTTACTCATTAATGTTTGCTAAGATCTGGATGTATGTAATTAAGTTAAATTTCGTTAATTTTTTTCAGCAAACCTAGGTGTTTAAAATCAGTGAAGTCTAGAATGAAATTAAGTGAAATGTCCTAATTGACACCGGAATGGATATGGAGCCTCAAAGAAATCTTTAATGGTCTAGTCATCAGTTTCCATACTAGCTTACTCACTGGAGGAATACTTGTGGTGTGTTTTTTTGTTTTTTTTCTAAAAAAGTAATAACTTCTGTAGCTACTTGCATTCCTTGAGCTGATAAGTCTAAATTAGTTGATTATATAACTTGGTCAGACTTCTAATTTTTACCATGTTAAGTAAATATATTTTAAAAGGTATTTAAATATTTTTAAAAGTTACCCAATTGTTTCACTTTTATCTATGAATTTATGTTGCTGAACTAAAACAAATAGTAGCTGAAAGCTGAAATCACTTGGTTTTCTAACATGCCATCTTTTTTCTGTTCTGCAGCATGGGTGAACTCTCTTTCTATGGGAATGGTCTTCTTCTGTTCTCCAATAGTCAGCATATTCACAGACCTGTTTGGTTGTCGAAAAGTAGCTGTTATTGGAGCTGCACTAGGATTTGCTGGACTCCTTTCAAGCTCTTTTGTAAGGTAAAAAATTAATTTCTTTACATTCAGAGTGTTTTATCAATTTTACATGGTCTCATTGACACAATATGGAGTAAGCAGTGCTACTTTATATTTAAAAACCTTGTTTTATTTGTTTTCATTTTTGTCTTTCAAACTATGACTTGTGGAAACTCCAAATGGTACTTTAAACTTCAAAAGTAATTAAAAAAACATAACCTGATAACAGCACTCCCTATTTAACAGGAACCACTATGTAGAAATGTATTGACAGCAAGACTAATGCTATAAGATCAGCAACATTGGCTGTGATAAACTTCTTGTGTATTTTCTTGATATATGTTGTGTTTTAGCATGTACATAAACATTGTTTTTGTCTCCTCTCCCCTAATTTTCTTTTAAAACACTGTTTAAATGTTGATAAATATGCAGTAGGACTTCCAGGAAGGTGTTAATGTTTCAGCCAAATTTAATGTTTTCTTCTATTACTAGTCCAATTGCCAAACACTAAGATAGTGAAAACCTTGGTATAATGACATATACTTAGGCTTATTTGCTTTATTAAGAAAATCTCAGTTCTTTTTTGTTAGTGAAAAAAACTGAACAGTAGTTGAGTGTTTTCCTCCAGGTGACACTTCATTTTGTACATTTCTGTACCTTTTGCAGAATAAATACTAAGACGTTCATGAACAGCTGGTTTGTTGGACGTGCGCAGTAGAAGATGAGGAAATGCGAAATTTACTTATTCTAGTCATCAGCAGAAATTGATTAGTTAAGATAGGGTAAGAATTAGCAGAAGAATAAGCCACAGTTACCTCTAGTTCTCAGTCTGCCCTTTTTCCACACTTAGCAGAATAAGTACAGGAAGAATCTAAAGCAAAATTCAGAAGTTTCCTATGTAAATGAAAATGTGTCTGTATAGACGGGCTTGTGAGAATGTTTTCTGTGCCTGTGCTCTGAACCAGATAAATGTGAGCTGGCTGTGATCTGGGTGGATGAATATCTATGCTGTGTGGCGCTATGCCTGAGCCAATATGTCTAGTTTGGGCATATGTCCCCTAATGTGAAGACATAGCCACAAATTTACAGGAACAGAAGACACGTAGTTTTGTCTTGGGTACTGAGAGTTTATATTTATTCTTGGAATAACTTATGAGAAAAAGAGAGCTTTGTTTTCCTGTTACTTCAGCAAGTTTCTGATTTTTATTTTTTGGTTAATCCAAGTGCAAATATTTTGCTTAACTCATTTTACTAAAGCAAGCAAACAAAAAACCCCCACTTCCTGATATGTTTTGAAGCTTGCGAGGTAAAAAGTAAAAGATTGCATCTTGGAAAAGTCTTTCTTCCTCATTGCTTCCCAATAGTGTGTGAATACTAAAACAGTCTCATTATTATAAATTAAACCTCTTGATAAAGGAAAGATATTTTCTTCCTTGGAACAAAATGCTGTCATCTTTGTTTCTCTGATATCCAATGGAACAAGGGCACAGAAGAGACATGCAAAAGGAAGATATTTTGTAAAGGCTTTAAAAATATTTTAGCTTGTTTGAATTCTGTTTTAGAATTTGAGGAGCACTTTGAGAGGAGAGGTAAGTTCTTGCTAGAGTACATGCCATGTTAATGTGCATTCTTGGTATTTTATGATGTTACTTACACAAAAATGGTTTATGCCTATGATGTTATCAGTTAATTGAGGGAGTGTAGTTCAGATATAGAAGCTGATGTTCTAAAAGTAAAATATTGTACAGTAGATAAATGTAAATATGATTTACTGCTTTTCTTACATACTGATTTCTTAATATAAATTTTATCTCTTGGGAAGCTGAGATGTAAGAGTATTTGTAATGCAGGAAAACATTTTACTATGTATGCCATGCTGTAAACTCTTTGAATGAATCTACAGCCAGAAGCAGGACTTCTCTGTCCTCCATTGTATTATGTTTCTCCTCTCATTTTATAACTTCTGTTTTTGTTTTTCTTGGGTATTTTCCATTGATAAAGGTAATTGGTCTTTCCCTCTTACGTTGTTTCTGCTGGTTTACCAGCAGAAACAGTAATCAGTTTTAGATTATAAACTAAAAAAATAGTATAATCACTTTTAGAAATTGATAGTTAATGTAGAAAGCAAGAATATTATATTACACAAATAATCTTTTCATGATAATACACAAAATCAGTGTCAGGCCTTTGTTAGTCAAATACGGTTTTCTAAGAATTTCTGTAATTTCATGGGAAGGTTGCAGAGTGTATTTTAGTATAGAGGGATGCTGGCAGGTAGCATCCTGTGATGAAAGGCAGTACATAAAGTATTCATGCTCCTTAAAAAAAGTTAATATATTGGCTAACAGGTCAAATGGTTTTCTATAACTACTTTAAAAGCAGGTGTTAGCTGACAGAAAAAAGTCCATGGTTCATTGAAAACATAGTAGTAAAAAAAAAAAAAAAAAAAAATCATGTGCCACCTCAGAAATCTTGTATAAATACATTTCTCACACATTGCCTCCTTCCTCTAAATGTAAAAAAAAAGGTGTTCTTTGACTAATTAATACTACGATATTAATTTAATTGATTATACTAACACTGTTACTTCATACTGTTAAGATTTCTTGCACAAGTACCTTTTAATGTCACATATCTGCTTGTGAGCTAATACAATGGCTCTGCTTCTTTTCACTTGTATAGTAAATGGTAATGGTGGAGAACCTTGTGATGAAGATCCTCCTTAATATCAGTGGAAACGTTTCATTCTTTATGAATGTTTTTTCCTATTTCTTTCTTAGCCTATCCAATATCTGGATCAAAAGACTGAATTTGGAATATTTAATAAAAAGGCTATTATCTGTCTAAAAAAATGAATACCTAAAGTCTATAACTTGCTAGTAACATATTATATTGCCAGAACTTGACAATATTTTTATGTTTTATTTTTCATTAATGTTTACTACTTTTGCTATTGTATTTTCATAATAAAACATGTAAAAATACGATTTTTCTGGGTTCATTAGGAGTGTTCAGTATTGTTTGAACTGCTAGCACATTGAAGAAATGTCTAAATCAAAACAATATAACTTTCTTTGGAAAAGAAAAGACCAAAACCCCAGCAATGGTTGAAATTATATTTGTCTAATTCACCCTGAAAATTATTTTTAAAACTTTCTTTTAGTCACATTATTTGGTGTAATTAAATATAGTTTTGCATTCTTGCCTGTTCGGTGAATTCTAGGAAATCTTCAGTGTAAGAAAACAATAATTGCTGAGTTAAGATGACACAGTATATTTCAACTATTAAGTACATAGAAACTCTTAATTCACTTCTGTAAATATGTCAGTTCCTTGAAAAACTGTCTTGCATATGGTAGGTGAATGTGAGCGTAGTGTTGTACAAAACACTAATGATTTTTTCTCTTTTTGGTCTAGCACCATTGAACCGCTATATTTCACCTATGGAATTTTATTTGCCTGTGGCTGCTCATTTGCGTACCAGCCATCCTTGGTCATTCTTGGGCACTATTTCAAGAAACGCCTTGGACTAGTGAATGGCATCGTCACTGCAGGCAGCAGCTTGTTCACCGTGTCACTGCCCTTCCTCTTGAGAGTTTTGATTGATTCTGTTGGCCTATACAACACCTTGCGAGTCCTGTGCATCCTTCTGTTTATTCTGTTCCTGGCTGGCTTTACGTACAAACCTCTTGTTTCCAATGCCAAAGACAAAGAGGGAGGAAAGAAGGGAAAGTTCAGATTTCCTCCTGAAAAAAAGATTTGCAATTTCTCAGTTTTCAGAGTTCTCAGTTACCGAATTTGGGCTTTTGGGATCCCAGCTGCACTTTTTGGATACTTTGTGCCTTACGTTCACTTGGTAAGTATGTGTTTTTTCCGATGTATGATGTATTTAAAACTACAGCTATTTCCCTTTGTGTTTCGGACTAAGAAAATGATTGATGTTAGGAAGCAATATTTAAAATGCAAGTCATGTTGGGGAGAAGCGCAAAATTAATGTTGATGTCTGTGACTAAAAGAGATTCCAGGACTCTAATCAGAACTATTAGTTGAGACAGTTAAAGTTTTAGTTCCTTGTTCTCATTCTAAGGTTTAAAATACTTTAACTGTGAAAAAAGACATTTAAAAAGTGTTCTGTACTATTCCAAAGAGAATTCTCAGCTGCACACATTGCCAATGATACTTGTGCATTTCAGAGGAATAATGGAAAGGGTAAATAACAGAAAACAGGTAAAACTTCTAATTTTATACTTCTAATTTTTGTTCCTTTAGGTTGAGGTATGTTTGTTAAAATGTGCATTTTTAGAGTATATTTTATTGACCATTATCCTGGTTTATTAAAAGCAAAATACTTGGATTTTTCTTTCTCTGAAACTTTAGCTTTGTAGTTTACCCCTATAGCACTAATATAACTGATCCTGTTACCCAGTGCTTCTAGCCACTGGTTCATCTGGTTTTTGTTGCTGTCTACAGTAACTGATGGAGCTTTAGCTTCTGATGATGGGGGTGCTATATCAGCCATTTCTTATACAAGTACTAAAGTTAATTTGTTTCCCTAGCAGAATTTTTTTTTTTTCTGTAGTACACTGTTAATCTAACAAATCCTGATGCAACTGAGATGCGTTCCATGAAGTGTGTCTGGCTGGCATTCACTGCAGTGGTGAATTATTTTTGAATGGCTTCCTGGTGGTACTGTCTAAACCGAAGTGGTGCAAACCAAAAGGATTAAAAGGGAAAAGGAAGAAAAGCACAGAACTTGCTCATTTTGACCATTACATATCCTTATATTCAAGAGTATTTGATAAAGAGCATGGACTAGTAGAGCTAGTACCCACTATGAAAGCAGAAGGATCATGTTAATATTTATTATTCATCCATGATAGAACAGTAAGATTCATGATAATAAATGTCTTGAATTCTGTCAAAAATCTTCAACTCCTTAAAAGCCCATGGGTTTGTATGCAATACATATATGCAAGTGTTGACACTGCTTTCTGGTAATACGTTGGTTAGATTATGGTCTCTGCATCAGGTATTTTAAAAATTACCTTAGGGTGGGGGCTGGATTGTTTTTGAGCAGCCGTAAACTGACTTATTCATGGCTAGTTCTTGTTACTTACTTTTTAATCATGTAGATCTTAGTCTAATTCTAAGAGTTATAGAATATTTCAAAGGACCATACAATTGGATGATTAAGCTATTGTGACATCATACGCTATTTCCCCATAAGTTTTGTAGAGGTGTTTTGAAATAAAACAGTGTTCAGAGGAGTAGAAAGAAGTGTTGTAGAGAAGGCTACAGGATAGATTGTAAATGATCGTTAACACTCGCAGAAAACTGAAGAACAAGACTATACAAGCAGTCTCATAGAACCTCTAAAATACATTTATTTAACAAAAAGCTTGCAATTTTTTCCCAAGACACTTGTACCAATGCTTCTTGTTTCTAGAATGGATTAAAGCTGCTGGTTGAATTGTAGAGGACAAAACCCTTTGTATCTTTTTTTTATATTATATAATTTTTCTTTTTATAGTGTGCTTTCATTCCTGTTGAGTGCTTTTTTTTCCCCCACATATCAGATTGGCACAAATTCTGATTGTGAAATACAGCTCCAGTACAGGAGAACAACTTGATCAAGGCTGTTTCTAATATAATGTTTGATAACAGTACAAAACTATTCCAAAGTGCAGTTAGAATCTAATATTTTAAAGATTACTTTAAAATTATACCAAGAGACTCAAATTCCAGCTTTTTTTTTCTCAGAGCTTCAGAGGAACATGAAGTGTAACTACTTACAACATAAAATCTTTAATGGTAATCAAGTTTGCTTTATATGCCACTTTTGAGAAGGGAAGCTTCACCAGCTCTTAGGAACTGTTCTCTGGTAATTTTTGTTACCAAATCCCACTCCTGAAACCCACAACTTTTTGTTTCAATTTACTTGTCTCTAAATACTCAATTTTAATATATAATTCTCTGGTCTTCCTGTAAATCAGAGAGGAAAATCTTCGTAATATAAAGTAAGCTTCTACTACTTCTAATAAAATGATTGTAAAGAGGGTGGTTAGCTTTCATTCCTGGCATTGCAGATAGCATTATTAAATGGAAAATAGCTTGTTTTTTCTCTAATCTTTTAAAACATCTGATTGTTTATGATTCAGATTTCTATAAAAAATTTAATTTAGGTACCTTTCAATATACACAGAGCATCTATGGAGGATTGAGGTACTAAACTTGTGTTATGTACCTAGGGCTCTTGACCATACTCGGAAATATTTTAAAGCCTAAACCACACTTTGATCAGTGACTATGATAGGGATGGTAAGAAACAGTATGAATTGGAATAAAATTTCATGTGTTTATACTGATAAAGAAACTACATAGATACCAACAATGTCAGATTTCTGTTTACTTATGTATATGGTTCATTAAGTACTGTGTAAATGCTCACTAATCTTTCAGCTTGACATACAAATAGTTTAATAAAATAATCGCTAGCTTTACTGATGTTGAAATGGGAAACTAAAACTTGAATTTTCATAAACAGCATTCTAGAACGTGTAAGATTTTTCTAATCTTCAGTCTTGGATAAGTGATCAGGATGAAAAGAGTGTAATACATGCAAGTCATATATTACAGATTATTTTGTAATTACTTTATATGTGATTACCAAGGATGGATGTATCTTTAGTAGCAGAAATCTTTGTGGCAGAAAACAGGAGTTCGAATTGCTGGGTTGGAGAATGCAGTTGTAGGACTAACAGTAAACTTGCTGCTTGGGGCTTAAAGAATGAAGGTTTCTCATAGCTAAACTCATCATTTCTGTAATTGTTTCTACATAAACCTAAACTCATTCAAGAATTTAGGTCTGCTTTTAGAACTAAGCAAACATTCATCCCTCTAACTCAAATTCAATAATTTCAAAAAGAAGGGACAACCTTTTAAATTGAAACAGGTATTTATTTTTATGAAAACATGAATATGTGAAGAACCATAGCATTTATTGCTGGTGGGCAATGATGTATGCTGGGGGAACTATTTAAAACCTTAGAAAGTCTCTGTGGATCTGTATTTGAGAAAGTGAATAGATCAGTGTTTATGAAGGAACAGCATGGATTCTGCCCTTCAACACAAATACTTCACCTCCAGTAGATAGCGCTGGACTCTTTTATCCTAGTTTTGTCTGCTTTTGATGAAAAACACATTTTATGCACCTCCAGAAGTATATAAAAGTACGTACTTCCAGATAAGTCAAAGGCTATAAGAAAAAATAACTTTTTGCTGGTATCTACCAAACCAAAGACTGCTTTCCTCAGCTTTTTAAAATGAAAGTTACTGTTATTCCATGTTTACTGCATTTTTAAAATTGTAGCAATACTGGAAAAGGGATATGATACTTGTCCAAGTGACAGCTTTCATTGTGCTAAAATCCTTGAAATTTTTCCACTGTTACAGTTGGCTGACAATAGCCAGACTGCGAGAAAGGGATGCTGATTGTAAGTGCCCTATGAAGAAAACACACATGGAGCCTTATGCCTGCAGCTCCTTCCTTAGCCCTCAGACCTGGTTCCTGTACTTATCAAGTCCCATTTTTCCTGCCTGGAAAGGCAACTTCTGCCAGAGTGGGTGCTCTTGACCATGAAACAGGTGCCACAGGCCCTACTGATTAGGGTCATTGTGTGTCACCACTCAGGTCTGTTGTAACTGGAGGTTGCAGACCTGGTGTGCTCTGGTCATTGCACATCAGCTGCTGCCTGCTGCTTGGCACAGCGAAGGAGCTCCTAAGGTCCCAGACAGGGTCTCTGAGTGCTCCTGAGGCCAACCCTGATTCCTGTATGTCTCTAGTGTTTTGTGAAGCATATTGGAAGGGAGGATGCATGTTGTGAAGTTTGTGGTAAGAAAGAAGTAAAACTTCATTTTGGGCTTTGGAATAGTAGAATTAGCGTGGTCTTTGCAATTTAAAGTCTGCACTGTATTTGCTAGATGGAGTAAAAGCTTATTAAAACCAGATAAATTAACCTGCTCATGAACTAGGCTCTAACTAAAATTAAACAAATCAACAAATTAATTATATGGCTAGATAGGATTCATATGAAGGAGCTGGCAAGAATTACCAGAACTACCAGACTGGTAGATATCAGCTGCATGCAAAATAAGCATTATATTCCTTTTGGCTTTTGCACTGGAGAACCAAAAAGGGAGAGCTTTTCTTATCCCAGTTTAATTGGTGTCAAATTCCATTAGTAGGTGTTCCTTTCCATGTGATTTTAGGGAATTGGGTTGGGAGAAATACTATAAATAGGTTTTGACTTAATTTTATCATATGCTTTTAGCATCAATTCAGATTATTGAAGAGCAAATTGATAATTCATAGAATTACTACATCAAATGGCTGTTATTTGTCTCAATTTTTAAAACCAGTCTAAACTGCAGTGATTTAGAGTGGCTTTTTTTCTTTTGATGTCTCTCTAAAATAGGCAAATAGCCAAATAAAACAACTAGTCCATTCAGGTTTAAAATGTGAGTCCAAAACAGAAATCTGTCAGATTAATGCAAAACACTCTT